AGAGCCTGACGCGGGGCTCAAACTCGTGAACCACGAGATCATGACCTGAGCCGAAGTCAGACACTCAACCAGCTGAGCCACCCAGATGCCCCCTTTTTTTACTTTATTTTTAATTGTGGTTATAATCATATAACATTAAATTTCCCATCGTAACCATTTTTTAAAAATACTTTTAAAGTTTATTTATTTTGAGAGAGAGAGAGAGAGAAAGAGAGAGAGAGAAAGTGAGTGTGGGGGAGGGCAGAGAGAGAATCCCAAGCAGGCCCTGAACCATCAGCATAGAGCCGGATTCAGGGCTCGAACCCATGAACCCTGAGATCATGACCTGAGCTGAAAGCAAGAGTCGGTCGGTTAACTGACTCAGCCACCGAGGCACCCCTCCCGTCGTAACCATTTTTGACTATACGGTTCAGGTGTCAAGTATATTCGCACTGGCGTGCAACAGACCTCTAGAACTTTCTCAAATCTTTTTAGAACTGAAACTCGATGCCCACTAAACACTGATTTCCCCTCCCCCAGCCCTTGGTAACCAGCTTTCTATTTTCTATGATTTTGACTACTTTAGGTACCTCTTCTGGGTGGAATCCTACAGTGTTTGTGATGGGCTTATTTCACTTAGCTTACGGTGCTTGAGGTTCATCCGTGCCGTGGCGTGTGACAGAGACTAGGCTAATGTTTTAATTGGGGTCTTTGCGTAAGTGAGTGGCGCCTGGGGAAACCCCTTGTGCCCGGTGCCCCCCGTTATCCATTAGGTGGATGCACATGTGGACCTAAGGGCTTCTTTTCTTTATTCTCTGTCACAGCTAGATGTCCTGATTATACCCCATCCGTGTTCTAACCGGATGCAGGTCAGAGTTCACGTCACCTTCCAGACACCCTGAAGATGTTCGTTAGGTCCATTTGGCGAGGCAGCTTACAATAAGCTTTCTCCATTCATTGTGACCTTCATTATCTCTACCCGTGTATGAACCTCATCAAAATGAACCCTGGAAGCTAACATGTATGCTTCTATTTCTGTCTTTCAGTGAAACCTGATCCCCCACATATTAAACGGCTCTTCTTCCAAAATGGTAACTTGTACGTGCAATGGAAGAATCCACAGAATTTTTATAGCAGATGCTTATCTTATCAAGTAGAAGTCAACAACAGCCAAACAGAGACGCATGATATTTTCTACGTAAGTTTTTCTTAGCTAGTTGATGTAACTTGGCTATTTTTCTGTCACTCGAGTTTCTTACAGGGTAATATACTGAAATGTCAGTGAAATGCAGCTCCTAGATTTGCTACCTGATGATGACGGTAATGAACTTTCTCGTCTGAAATAGGGCGTGGTGGGAGCTTTGAGGGTTTATGGTAGTGGCACTGGCCGTCAGATTCAAGCCATTCGTTGATTCATTTGCTGAACGCATTTTCAGTACATATCTACCACGTGCCGGGCGCTGTTTTAGGTGCACGTGACCCTGACGCGAAGGTCTTTTTTTCCCATGAAACCTCCCTACTGGAAAATGAGTATGTAAATGAGCGAGCTGATTTCAGAGCATGAAGGCTGTGAAGAAAATTAAATAGGTCATGTAGTGGCATGACAGGCGGGCCTGAGGGAATATGAGGTTGGGCAGTCATCTGAAGTGATGACATTGGAGATGAGACCAGAATGACGGGCCGGGGCTAGCCATGTGAAGATCTGGGGGTGGGGGGAACAGCCAGTACAAAGACTCTGAGGCAGGAACGGGCTTGGCCCGTGTGAGGCACGGAGAGGAGACTCGGGTGGTCAAAATACAGTAGGAAAAGACGCGTAAGCGGGAGGCCGGGGTCAGATCGGGTAGATACTTCGAGGCTCTGGTATGGCCATTCCCTTTTCTTGGAGTTTGTGGCAACTAAGGTAGTCCACTTTGAGGAGTCCGTATTTGTTGGCGTATGTACATTTACGCTCCTGGGAAGCTAATACAAAACATACTAATTAGCGGTCCCCGTGGGCCACCGGCCATAACAGGATGTGGTGTAACCTCAGGGCGTCAGTCCCATTCTTCCGCTTTACAGGAGAGGTCACACACTTTGGCCTTAAACATTTTTGTTTGGACCACAGGCACGGTGGGGGTTCGTTTATTAAATTTGACGGAGGCAAACCATAAGAGGCTTTTAAATACAGAGAACGACCGAAGCGTTGCTGGAGGGACGTGGGTGGGGGATGGGCTAAACGGGCAACGGGCCTTAAGGAGGGCGCTCGTTGGGATGAGCACTGGGGTTTCTGTGTGAGTGATGCATCGCTAAATTCTACTCCCGAAGCCTAACTTGGATTGAAATAAATACATTTAAGAAACCAAAACAACAACGACGACAAAATTGGGAAATTTTGCCCAGATTCAAATACCCTGGCCCCCGAGGAGTGTAGTTTCCATGAGGTGGCGCCACAAGACCACAGGGGCCGGGCCGTGGCTGGTGTGCCACCTGCCGGCGGGGGGGGGGGGGGGGGGGGGGGGGGGGGGGGGCGTGTGCATTTGCATTTCAGAGGTTAGAGCCCGAGTGTTTCGTATTGGCTTTTAAAGGACCCCGGCATCTCGCACGTGGGCACATGCTTTGGTCCAGTTGTTTTGGCTCATCGTGGGAGTTTCAAAATACTTACTAAAATAAGCCACTGTTGACAGGCTGTAACTCAGAGGGAGTGGCCAGGTCCGCAGCTGACCGGAGCTTTTCTGGGCATCTGCAGGTGAATCTGTTTGCCGAAATAGAACCACCATTATCCGTACCAGAAAGTGGTGTCCCCGTACCGTGCTGCAAAGGGAAAGAGCAAAGGGCTTCCAAGTGGGGAGAAGGTGAGGCTTGGATTTACGGCGGAGTCAGCTTGTCAGAGCGCTGAAGCATACTTGACTACTCCAGCCTCTCCTGCTCTCTTCTGCCTGAAATCCTGAGACACATGCTGCTCGTATTACTCATTTGGCACCGAATTGTGTCCTGCGAGTTACCCTGATCACATGTTTGAGCCTTTTCTCTTGACTAAAAATAAAAGCTCCTGCAGGAAGGACTTCGGGGGTGTTTACTTTGTGCCACTCCTGCTAACAGTGGCTAGCACAGATCGAGCGATTACTATGTGTTAGGCATTTTATTTTTTAAATGTTTTCTGGAGAGAGAGAGAGAAAGAGAGAGCGAGCATGCGAGTGGGGGGTAGACAGGGACAGAGGGAGAGACAGAGAGAGAAAATCCCGAGCAGGGACTCTCCACGCTCAGCATGGAGCCCGATGCGGGGCTCGATCCCACGACCCCGGGCTCGCGACGTGAGCAGACATCAAGAGTCGGCGGCTCAACTGACTGAGCCACCTGGGCCCCCCTGTGGTAGGCATCTTAATGGACACATTATCTCAACCCTTTCTTGTAATCCTCACGGTTACCCTGACGATCTAGGTCCTATCATTTTGTCCCCATTTCACAGATGAGCAAATGTGATCTGACCCCAAAGCTTGTGCTCGTAAGCACTGGGGACCACCTCAATACTTCCTCTTTTTTTTTTTTTTTTTGAAAGAAGTATTCTTTTAAATTTTTTTTTTTTCAACGTTTATTTATTTTTGGGACAGAGAGAGACAGAGCATGAATGGGCGAGGGGCAGAGAGAGGGAGACACAGAATCGGAAACAGGCTCCAGGCTCTGAGCCATCAGCCCAGAGCCCGACGCGGGGCTCGAACTCACGGACCGCGAGATCGTGACCTGGCTGAAGTCGGACGCTTAACCGACTGCGCCACCCAGGCGCCCCAATACTTCCTCTTAATAGTAACAGCCATCCCTTGTTAAGTGTTCATGATATGCTACAAAGCTACTCTTCTAGGTGCTTCTTATACAGTAGCATATAACAATCTGTGAAGTGGTTCTATTTTAATCTATATTTTATTGGGAAACTAAGGCTCAGAGAGGGTAAGTAACTTGCTACAGGCCACACAGCTAATCAGTTGGTCTTTATGTAGTCAAAGGTTGGTCCTGATGTATTAAACTTTGAGAATATTTGGGATTAACACCATTTGCACGGTCATCACGTAATAAATTATTGTCGAACTGAGTTAATCTTTTTTACAAACTTTTGAACTGAAGAGCGTGTACATGCTATGGAATTTGTCCTCCTAAATCAGAACTGTAGCCTATTGGGAATTAACTCTGTTTACACATTTGAGCCGAACGTTCTTTCCCCTGGCAGATGTTCACCAGCTGCTTCCTCTCCCAGAATGTCATCAGCTTTTTGTACGCTCACTGATTTTGAGCTCCTCTGGTTAGACCCTTCCCCCCGCCCTGTTTTTTGCGAGCCTTTTTGAGGAATTGTTTCGCCTGGTGTTCTAGTTAAGAGGGGGAAGTAGGCTGGGACATGAGCTGGTGCCATCACATGGGGGCTGTGGTCAGAAGTAACTCATGACAGAATCACAAAGCAAAGAATGACTCTTGTTTAACCACCCCCCTTCTCCACAAACTCTCTGCTTGGTCCTCTGTGCCCTTGTCTTCCTTCTCCCACAGGGGTATCTGAGCAGCCCATAAACTATGCAAGGGAATTTACATTTGAACAAGAGCCCAGAACCTTCCATTTGTGCCGTGATTTGCTGATGTTTGGAATACATATATATCTGGGAGATGGTCATGAGGAGGGAGACACGAACCTGCAACCCGATCCATCAAGTGGTAGTTGACGCTTGTGATTCCCCAGCAGGTCTCTGATTCCCAAGTGGCCTCTTCTCTGCCCTGGAAGAAATAGCAATAGGACAACTCTCCATCACTCAGCTGGCCTTCCAGCTCATCACAAATGCTGCAGGGAACCATTTAGTGAATAACATGCACGGTCAAAAATCATAGCTCTGTGTTCTGGTTTTTGTCTCGTGTTTAAGCGTCTCTTTGATAAAAGGTGACTGTTTCTTCCAGCTTTGTTGAGGTATGATGGACAAGGAAAAAGTATATATATTTGGGTTGTACAGTGTGATTACTTTCAAGGTGTACAACATGATAACTTCATATGCGTATATCTTGTGAAATGATTACCACAATCAAGTTAATTAACACATCCATCACTTCACACAGTTACCTTTTTTTTAATGTTTATTTATTTACCTTGAGAGAGAAAGCATGCAT